ACCTCTTTTTTGGTAGACTTATCATATTCCAACTCATGTAACTCCTATCTCCTAAGAATTTCAAACTTATAAATCTGTTTTCCCATGTTTTCGGAGGAAAATTAAAAAAAATCTTCTAAGGTGTATATCACCTAATTTCCTTTGACTCTAAACCTCATAAGAACCCTATGTCTCATAATACAAGGAATGGTTCCGAGAAATGTAGCTCTAATACCAGTTGTAACAATCTATTTTCTTTGGAGAGAAAGGAGCATTGTATCACACATAAACCTGATAAATTTTGTGTAACATTACGCTAATATCTATAAATCGACAATGCATCCCTTTCACAGAGTCACAATTTATGAAGCTCATAACAATCTTTCGAAGTTACATCATAATAATATATTTTGATCTACTTTACAATGATGCTTTAAAGTAGCTAAAAGATTCTTCAAAATCTTCATTTGATCTTGAACTCACTTATGACCTGAACTAATCTGCACTAGGAGAGGGGGAGTATTAATTGGGGTGAACTTCATAAACTCAATAAAAATATAGTAGTGTTTAAAACAAAGATATGCAAATGCATATTCATGCAGGTTTAATAAAACAAATGCAAATCTTATATTCATAGACATCTAATTTGCACGACAACCATACTCATCATTATCGCAAGCATAATAAAAGAAACAATCAAGAACCACATCCGTTTTCATTACTCATTCTAACATATTCATATTTAGGTGTCGTATATATCATTCTCATTTATAAATATCATCATATTGTATTAGATTCTTATTAAGATAATTTCGTTTTGTTCACAAATACTATCAACCACATCCGTTTTTATTACTCATTGCAACATATTAATATTTAGGTATCGTACATATTATTCTCATTCATAAATATTATTATATTATATTAGATTCTTATTAAGATAATTTCGTTTTGTTCATAAATACTATCAACCACCCCAGATATGTATCCAGATCACTTCTATTTCTATTACATATTTTCATTTCCATCACCGATATTACTGGGGCCCATAGGGATCCCCGCCATATGTGGATGTACAAAATATTTCTTTTACAATTCACCAGCCATTCCCATACCCCGTCCAGTAATAGGTACCACAATTATAAACTGTCTCAATACCCTGTCCAGTAATGAGCGCTATAATTATAAACTGTCTCAATACCCCCTCTGGTATGAGCGTAATGAAACAAAGTCCCAACTCCGTCTGGCATGGGATAACCCTATACGATTGAAGACACATTTATAGTTGGGTTCACCCTATGTACCAAGTCCGTACACTCTCTCTCATGATACACGATAAGTTTTTTCCTCTTCAGAAATTATCTCAACTTCATAAACTTAAACACCAATCACAAATATATATTCTTATATTCCTACACTTATTGACTTGTTCACGTATCCATTGTACATATAATTTACATATATGTAGCACACTTCATATTATATATACATACACGCACAACAATATATATCTTAACTACCCCTACATATATTTCGCATATAATCATGTCTACTATTAAAAACTTATAGATTTATTCCTTCATTTATACAACAGTTTTAATCACTCATCGATACATGTACTATATTATATATGCTCTCACATGCACACAAATGCGTATGCACCTAATTTATACATATGTCATCCTATACAACTATATTCATTTTACTTATATTTTGTATATATTTAACATATATCACACATATCCATACGAAATCATATATCGCTCATTCAAAATAATTACCCACGTAATCATATGTATATATACATAAAGACATCCAATTTGTAAACATACACTCCCACCCATTATCTGTTATATGTGTATCATTTGGCACACGCACATATATTCAAATAGACTCAATTATGTATTCATAAAGCTTTAACATTATTCTTATTTACATAAGTACAATTGTAGGAAGCTATTCACACACTTTCATATACGGATAATAATTTGTGAGAAAACATATTCTAAAATTATCCATTAAATTTGGATCCATCATTTTGAAATCAATAAATTATTTTACGAAAATATGAAATTCTCGAATAAAAACTAACTCAATTCTTACCAGAATCTCTAATAAAGGAGAAATCAAAAAGCTTTCGAATGAATTTAGTTCCATACAATCGACTCTCATTTCAGCTTTCTATTCCTAATTTTTCTAAAAATTTCACACACATGATTGAGGATTTAATTTAAAAGAGTAACTGAATGTAAGGTGAAAGAAAATTTACCAAAATCGGTGTCAAATTTGGGCTTTCGACCCGAAAGAGTGTGGTTTTGGTCTCTCTTCGGTTCCCTGATTTTTGGCCTCGCACGAATCTTTGCACGGATCCGGAACATCGCGCCATGGTCTACCTCACACAGATCAGGTCCAATCAACACGCACTTTGCTTCTTCTTCTTCAGCAATGCACGCCTTGCACTCGACACCATGCGCCCAGCCCCGCGCTCCCTAGCATCGTGCGCTTAGCCCCGTGTACCCCGGCACTGCGCGCTGCATGCTCGACACTACGCACCGCATGCCGCACGCCTTGTACCGTGAACTGTGCGTCGCACGCAACTTTTTCTCCCGATCCCGCGTCCGACACTACACACCGCACGCAGCTCTTCTTTCAGTCGTGCACCATGCTTTCTTCTTCCTCCTTCTTCTTATTTTTCTTCGGTGGCAACACGCGCCACGCACCGTGTTTCTTTCTTTCTCCTTCTTCTCCTCCTTTTTCTTCTTCTTCTCCACCGCCCTTGCCCCCTTTTCTGCTATGGTTTCTTTTTTTATTATTATTTTTATTTCTAGGCTTGAATCTAGGCTCTTCTCCCTTGGGCTTGGTTATTACAAGACGTGGATAGGTGTTTATGAGTGTGGGTCACTTAACAAATGTACCTATTGTGGTCATTGTGAGATTTTGTGTGTGTGTGTGTTATCCATGCGATGGGGGGATCTATTTTACCTCTACTCAATGACGAGATAAATGGGATCGTGTAATGAAAACTTTAGAAATGACATTTCGAGTGTACATTTGATATTTCGTGTGTATTTAATTATATTTTGAAGTTATGATTGATATTCCAGTGTACATATGTTCTTTCGAGAATATGTAGATATACTTCAAAAATTGTAAATGATATCCGAGTGAAACTCAAAAATCCGATCAGAAACATGTGAAAATTGTGAAAATAATAAATAAATTTTGCATTTAAACTGTTATTACTGCATTTTGTCTCATACTGTGTGTTTTGCATGAAATCTTATTTGGGTTAAAAGAACGAAAATACTTATTGATTTGGTGAAACTCATTAAATTTTACCCTGATATTTTTCAGATGAGAAAAAAGAGACAGAATCGCTGCCGGACGAGTAGAACCTGTAAAAAAGTTCATGTTTATATATATTTTGTGCATATTTGAGAAATTTTCGTTTTGTTTTGTTTTGTTTTGTTTAACTCTAAATTTTGAACTCATGTTCTGTATTTATAACTATTGTATATATATCACATGTGATGTTAGGTTGTATGATAAATTTTGAACTATATATATGTATATTTTGTAGGCTATTGCATAACAATGACATGAGTAAGAATTGTACCTCATATCGAATTTGGGGTGTTACATATATATATATATATATTTGTATATTCAAAGTTTAAAAATACATATCTAAATAAGAAATCTGAGTATTAGAAAAAAAAAAAACAAAACAAAACCCGAGGGATTGAAAATGTATTCACGAGCTAATAAGCTTGAGATGGCAATGTAAGGGTCGTCTTGCCAACCTTCTTCAAAGCTTCGTTGAAGACAAAAGTCAAATCAAATAATAATTTCTATCAATTTTCATGTGAGACATGCACGTGGAGTTCATTCATTGCTCTTTCTTCATCACTCGATTAATCACTCTCACCAAACACATAATTCATATAATTAATAAAAATATATAAAATTTGAACTATCTCCTATTCCTTTTAATTTTATTTCATTTTGTAAAAATATATATTTTATATTTATACATAGAATAAATAATTAAACATACAAATATATAATTCTTGTGTGCATAAAAACCCATCGAGTAGGTTTTAGCTTAGTGTGGGTGGAAAGATAGTTCTATCATTTTTGGCATAACTAGGAGTAAGTGTGAAGCACAAGAGAAATGGGGAAAAAACAACGGAGACAAGAGGATGAGGAGTAAACATGAAACAATGACAATAAAGACGAAAGACAGATGTATGCATATACATATATATATATATATATATATATATATATATATATATATATATAAGAAATGAGATATTTATAATATTGTTAATCATCCAAAACACATCACATGCATCCACACCTCAAATCATTTTTCCAAAAGAAAAAAAAAAAAACAAAGTTATTGTCCCACATGCACATGTAGTCTAGTGGGCGGCCAAAAATTAAATATTTTCCTCTTCCTCCAAAGTTATCAACTTATTTTATTTATTTCTGTGATTATATAGATAGGTTTTTTAATTGCTGAATCTAAGTAAGTCGTGATTAGTAAATTTGGAGTGTTTTTCCACATTTTACCTACTAATATATATGCATATAATATTTTCTTAATTAAACTTTATTTTTATTTAAAACTTTCTAATTTATAGTTTCGGATTTTTGTTCAAAAAAGTTTTAGATATCAAATTTAAATTTGAAAAAAAAAAAAAACTAATATAAATAACGTTAGTTAAAAGACATTAATAGAGACATAATTATTTGGGTTGTTTTTAAATTACGGGATTAATTCAAATATAAAGAAGATATATTTATTATTTATATGATTAATTGAATTGAAAGGAAATTGGGTAGTGAAGGTTGCTGTATTTAAATACATATTAGATAAAGGTCTTGTGACACGTGTAACTTCAAATTAAAAACAAAAAGATGAGATGAAAGAAAGGAAAAGAAATGGTAATTTAGTGAGGCATAGAATTTGAAAATTTGAAGGACATAATAAATTTTCAGTTCAAATATTCACTGTTTGAAAATATGCAGCCGATGATATTTCAAAACTGATTTCATCATCTTCAAAGGAGTTGTTCGTATTTAATGATACTTTCATTTTTTTAACAAAATCAAAGTCTCCTTTTTTTCCATCTATGACAAGTTTTAATAAAAAGTTTAAATTATTTAGTTTAAACTTTATGCATTTGCAGTGTATTTTTTCTTTTTAAATAATGTAGAATTTCGTGTGTTTAATATATTTAACATATTTATATTATACCTTGGGGTGTATAGTATGAGAGGAGAGTAATGAAGTGAGTTGCTGCTGCTGCTGCTGCTCTGCTGCAACCTTTTTAAAACATTCCTTTCAAATCATGGAAACCAGCTCAGTTTCCAAGCTCTTAACTTTCTTCCTCCTGCTTCTGCTTTTGGCCTCTGGGTTGATCAACTGCACCGTCACCTACGATAATAAGGCTATTCTCATCAATGGCCGAAGGAGAATCCTCATCTCCGGCTCCATTCACTACCCAAGGAGCACCCCTCAAGTACTTGCCACTTATTGTCATTGATGATTTTTTAAGTGCCATTGTTGTTGTTTTTCAAGTTTTACTTTTTATTTTTTGTTCTTCTTTGGGGGATTTGTAGATGTGGGAAGATCTTATAAGGAAGGCTAAAGATGGAGGGCTGGATGTTATTGACACTTATGTTTTCTGGAACGTTCACGAACCTTCCCCTGGCAATGTACTGGTTTTGATCTCCTCTTTTTGACCATTTATTTTCAATTTGGAATGGTGTTTGAGCTTTTTTTTTTCCCTTGAGACAATGTAGTATAATTTTGAGGGAAGATACGACCTGGTACGATTCATTAAGACAGTACAGAAAGTGGGGCTCTCTGCTCATCTTCGTATTGGACCTTATGTCTGTGCAGAGTGGAATTTTGGGTAAAATTCAACATTCCTGTTGAACCATTAGATCTGTTTATCAGAAAGAGTGAATACTAGATTTCACTGACTTACTCCCTGTCCCTTGGTGTTTGCTTACAGAGGATTGCCAGTTTGGTTGAAGTATGTCCCTGGTATCAGCTTTAGAACAAATAATGGTCCTTTCAAGGTTTTCCTCCTCTTGCACAGTGAAATCCTTTGATTGAAAAGCTTGGAAAAGGAAAATGGGAGAAGGGAGATTTTGAAAATGTAATACTTTTCTTCTTGTTTTGAAGGCTGCAATGCAGGGGTTCACCCAGAAAATTGTCCAGATGATGAAGAATGAGAGGTTATTTGCATCACAAGGTGGTCCCATAATCCTCTCTCAGGTATGAATTTTTGGTGTACATTTTGCATAGCAGCAGATCCGGTGATAAAGTAGGCGCTAGGACAAAGAAATAATTCAGTCAAGTCTTGTATTTAAAGATTGAGAACGAGTATGGGCCGGAAAGCAAGGAGCTTGGAGCTGCTGGTCGTGCATACATAAATTGGGCTGCAAAAATGGCTGTAGGACTGAATACTGGAGTGCCTTGGGTGATGTGCAAAGAAGATGATGCACCAGACCCTGTGGTAAAGCTATCTTTTCTCTCTTTGCCTGTTCACTGTCAGTCCCGCTTAGCTGTGGAATGATTTGGTTGACACCCGTTAATATTTTGAATGGTGCCGAAAGCCCTCCATTCTGACACTTTTTCTCAAATTCTTGGCTATAGATAAATGCTTGTAATGGTTTCTATTGTGATTTTTTCTCTCCTAACAAGCCATACAAGCCTACAATGTGGACTGAGGCCTGGACTGGCTGGTAATGTTTTATTTTCTCCATTTAATTAAATATGTAAATGCAAGCTTACTCCTCTGATTCTGTCTGACTCTCTCTCCATTTTAATGAAAAGGTTTACAGAGTTTGGTGGCACAGTTCACCAAAGACCAGTTGAGGATTTGGCATTTGCAGTTGCGCGTTTCATACAGAAGGGTGGCTCATACATTAACTACTATATGGTTACTTATCTTTCTCATTTTGTCTATGCAATATCTACGCACACGTGTAAACACACACGCACACACTTCATTTTCCTCAGCTTTAAATCTGCGTTCAGACAGATGGTTAATCATGGCTTATGACAGTACCATGGAGGAACAAACTTTGGACGCACAGCTGGAGGCCCATTCATTACAACCAGTTATGACTATGATGCTCCAATTGACGAATACGGTGAGAGAACTGATCTCATCTTTTCTGTTGATGCTTTCAGACTTCAGTATAGAAATCTCACCATCATTTTTTCAACAATCACTGGTTTAGAGCTATCTTGAAAAATTATTGGATTACACCATATATCTGTAACTTCAGAAAGTTTTTCCAATTCTAGTGGGGAATTTTCTTTTGGAAAATCTTATGTCAATCATGAACTAAAGATTCCTTCTTGTACCATTTCTATGCTTCCAAATACTTTATTTTCTTTTTTAATTTGAACACTAGCACGGTCTTCTTTTTCCTGCTTACTTTCCCAAGTTCTTTCTTAAGTTTGGTCATGCTCCTGCCCTGACTTTGTTTCATTCCACATGTTAGGTTTAATAAAGGAACCTAAATACGGTCATCTTAAGGACCTTCACAAGGCTATTAAGTTATGTGAACATGCTTTAGTTTCGTCTGATCCTACTATCACTTCATTGGGAAGCTATCAACAGGTCAGCTCCATCCACCATCAATATCATTTTGTTTTATATGATAAAGTAAGCAAACATTATATTGATAAATTGATTATTAACTCAATGATGATACCCTCCAGGCTCATGTATTCTCTCCAAAGAAGGGACAATGTGCAGCTTTCCTTTCAAATTACAATATGAAATCGGCTGCTAGGGTGTTATTTAATAATAGGCACTATGATCTCCCTCCTTGGTCCATTAGCATCCTTCCTGATTGTAGGCATGTAGTATTCAACACTGCAAGAGTAAGTAAATGTTAGTGGTTCTTGGTTTGTTTCTTCTAAAGTATAATCAACTACTGTTGAATATATCTCAAGTTTTTTTGTTTTAATCCTGTTGCTTGATTTGTTTATCCTGTGCTTATCAAGGTTCATGTTCAAACTTCACGCATGCAAATGTTGCCGTCCAGTTCCAAGCTGTACTCATGGGAGGCTTATGATGAAGATATCTTATCGTTAGGGGAAAGATCAGCAATGACAGCTGTTGGACTTCTCGAACAGATAAATGTCACTAGAGATTCTAGTGACTACCTGTGGTACATAACCCAAGTAAGCCTACTAGATATCACAGCTGTGTAGTTGATTCACTATTTGCATTGCAAATTTGTGGGTTTCAAAAAATGTCGTAAGTTTAA